GATCTGTTCTGAGTCACAGACTGAGAATCTGAGAAGCTGAGAAACTCCTGAGAGAATGTTTGGATGGTTAGGGTATGGCGGAAGAAAAGCTGCAAAAGGAATTGCCAAACATGCTTATCAGAAGTTAAGAAACAAGAGACAAAAGGAGTAGGAACTATTTTACTTGGCACATCACAGAGAGTAAGACAATCTGACCTGTTAAACGCTGCAGAGCATGCCCTGAAAATCTATAACACAACCTAACTAGTTGCTTAAAAATCCAAAGAAGGGAGAGAATACAGTACTAGATAGCCTTGCCACTCAGCAAAGACAGCATCTAAAGTCATGGAAAATGTTATTTGAATATTTAGTTAAAAAATAAAACCAATTATTATCCCAGAGAAAATGTACTAGGGTAGTAAACCAGAAAGCACCGATGGGTTTACTCAGACCCTCAAATTAAATTATAGTTTGTTATATAATTCAGAAACCAAACATCTCTGCTGTAACAAATGTAAAGAAGTAGCACTTCTTAGGATCAAAAAGAAAAGTATATTAAAGAAGTTAGATAATATAGTTGACCTCTGAAACATAATTCAACAACACATGTACATTTTGTGCCTCTTTTTGCTAAGTACAGGGAAATAGCAGAGACAGAAAAATTTACTGAATTATGCAAAAATTTATCTTAGTTTATGTTCTTACCAAGACATAAACTCAATTCTTTTTTTTTTTTTTGGCTTAACAAGAGGTAATTCTAAAAAAAGAAAGCGATAAAATACCTTTTGTCCCCAATAGTTAACTTTTTTTTTTTTTTTTTTGGTACTGGGGATCAAACTTGGGTCCTTGTGCTTTCTGAGTCAGGCGGCAGAACCACTGAGCTAAATCCCCAGACCCATAAACTCAATTCTTAAAGAAAGAGACAATGCCAGGAATCTCACCAACAGAAGGAGTCATAGACAGGTGTAAAACATTAATGCGAAGAACCCTGGCAAACCATTTTTAAAATTATTTTATCAGTAGATACACATAATGATAGCATTCATCACAGGGAATTTGTACCTGTACATGATATATTTTGATTCTTCTTTTTTTCCTAATCCCTTCCCCTCTCTTCAACCTTGGGAAATCATTTTGTTTCCTTAAAACCTGTGCTATTACGGAACTGAGGAATTTGGTCTTGGAGTAATTATGTAAGACGGCCAAGGCAGAGTCACAGCTCAGTACTTTGAACAGAAGAGCATCTAGTTACTTCTTTTGCGGTGATTTCTATGGATGTTCTCTTTGCTTCCTAAAGTTTTTTCCTAAACTGTTTTAATTTTTATTTTTTCAGCTTTATTAAAATAAAACCAGTATCTTAAAGATGTATAGGGCTGGGGATTTAGCTCAGTGGTTCCACAGCCTGCCTTGAAAGCGCAAGGACCAGAGTTCGTTCCCTGGTACAAAAAAGGAAAAAAAAAAGAGGATGTATCAGCTCTCCCGTGTCTACTGTAGCATTATTCATGATAAACAAGACATGGGAACTAAGTGTCCACTGACAGATGAGTTATGTATAGATAAATGGTATAAATAAAATGGAATATCATTCAGCCTTAAAAAGAAGAAAATTCTGCTATTTGCAACAACATGGGTGCACCCGGAGGACATTATGGTAAATGAAATAAACCAGACAGAGAAAGAACGATATTGTACAATCTCACTTGTATGTAAAATTGTAAAACACTGAACTAGAGAAATAGAGTATTATGGTGGTCACCAGCGGCTAGGATTATAATAGGATGGATAACCCAAGCTTTTAGTCATGACTATGTTTTGGAGCTCTGAAGTATGACCACTATAGTTAATACTAAAGTACTGTATGCTACAGATTTGCATTAGCTCATCCTTAGGGGCAATCAGATAAGATTTTATGATTTACTTTTATCCTGGAGACTTCTAACTCTCCTTACCTGTAGTCCCCACTTGCTTTCTTACTCACCGCACAAACACCCACTAAGCCCCTGTGATGTGGCAGACAAGAGGCCCCCATGTCTCTGCCATCCCGGCTTTCCCACCCACCTCCCACTGTCTGCCTCTCCCTACTCTAAGTCTTTCTCTATAGATACCCAGCAGTGCGTGCAGAGTACTACATTTTAGATTCCTAAACTACAAATCAGATCCGGTCTCTTCCCCATTTAAGATCTGGATGGTTTACCTCTGCGCACAAGTAAATACAAATTCCTCCACCAGGCACCCATGGCTGCCCATCCGGCCCCATCTGCTGTGCCAGTCACAACCCAGGGACTTCTCCTTTCCACACACTCTACCCTGTAGCCAGGCTGGACTGCTCGGTGTCACCCAAACATCCTGTGTACTTTCCAAGCCTGGCCTTTTTGCTTACCCCCTTACCAAGATTTAAACTCCAATTCTTGACTCAGCTGCCAAAATACACTGGCCCTCAAGGCTTGTCTTAATATTATTTTCTTTGTGCAGTTTTCCCTGATCTTGTTTGGCAAAATAAACGGTTCATTTTCCTATGTGCAAGTAACATTTTGTTCAAATTAGTTGTTTAGCATCTCTTCCTTGCCAGGTTTAAGCATGTCAAAGACAGGGACTGTTTTACTATTTTGATACCCATTATCCTCAAAAAAACAAAAAACAAAAAACAAAAAAACGAAGGCTAGTTCATTTTATGTGCCAGAGAGACATTAGTAGTTGAACTGGTTGAAACTTCTAGGTTTCTATGTAGTTTTTGTTGTTGGTGTTGTTCAGTCCAAATAAAGATGGGAACTGCGAATTTGATATTTTTGTTCCCTGGTTCTTTAGTTTAGTAAGATAATCTAGTGAGAGTCAGCTCATGGGAGGATTCATTGTTGGAAGACTGTCAGTGCCCCTTTCTGCTCTGTCCTAACTGGTTGTCCATAATAGGCTGCTTATAAGGTGAAGAATGCAGATTCTGTCCATGCCTTACTTGTTAGCTCCTCCTCCTCCCTCTACCCCGATGGGTTACCCTACAAATGTGTCCTGGTGGTTTCTGTCAAGGGCACCAGAGTCAAACGTCATAAATAAAGCAATAGGATCTATCAGCAGTACCAGGAGCATAACTGAAATCAACTACGGGCATGTTTTGGTTCATTTTGATAGATCGCTTTGCTGATCTAGTCCTTGAACCTCAGACTCTGAAGTCAGTTAAAGAGCCATAGAAATTGAAGAAATACATCCAAATAACCATAACTCTTATATAAAAAGCTTGACTCAAAAAAGGAATCAATCACTATTAGGTTGAAAAAATATGGAAGAAAAAAAGGCCCAAGATCACAAATAATGCTTGATCAGTTTAAATCTTACCATGGCAACATATCATCATCTTATGTAAGAAGCATTTAACTAATGTTGCACTCCGAAAAGAAACAACGTTGAAAATAAGGTCGGATTTAGCCTTTTCTTTTTCATATTTAAACATTATTCCTCTTCTCATCTGAGATCCATCAGACTTTATATCGAGGACTTAATGAATTTTCACACTTCATTTTTTTCTTGTTCTATAATCATAAGTACTTCATAATTCAATTTAGTAATATTGAATGGTAGAACCTACACTTAACAATGATTTTTTTTTTGGTTTAGTTTATTAAAGACGGGTGATGGCTGTTCTCATGTCCTTTCCTGACCTGACGCGTCAACAGAACACAAACCACTTCGCAGCAGCCCTGCCAAAGCAGTCCCTCTGTCAGCCTTGGCATGCGGCAGAGACATGTCCACTGGGCAGAAGAGGAAGCCTGCGCTCATCGCAAGGGCTCAGTGAAATCACTAACGTGACCGATGATTTTAACTGATCCCTAATCCCAGAAAAGAAGCATACACATAAGATATCTTTTGCATCTTTCTACAATACTGTAGAAACGAACTCTTACAATGTTTCCCTTTTAAGTCAAAAAAACAAATATAGTATCATGAAGATTTCCCCTCTCTCCAAAAAACATGAAACCAAGGGAGAAGCACGGCGCAAGTGGTGTGCTGGGGCAGTGGAAATGATCCAAGTATTTTAAGTATATATCCGAATTTAGTGAGGCTCTGACTGCAAGCGGATTCTAACAAAACAGAAAAATGTATCAAGCCAAAGCTCACAAGAACCCAATAATGCAGAGCAAAACTCTTGTTGTTCTTGGTCTTTTGTTCTTCACTCCTGTTTGAGGAGTGAGATCTGCTCTGTCAAAGCCCTGACTGTGACACACTGCCCTCGAAAGCAGCCATGGGCAAGGGGCTCTGCTGCTCTGTAGAAGCAAAGTGGTCAACCAGCAGCCCAGGGTGGGTCAAAGGTCGGGGGATCTTTGGTATGGGCCATAGGCAGAAGACATCTTACAACTCATCAAGCACCATACTCCCAACATGTCTTTCTGACACAAGGGGCTGTTGCTGCCTACAACTCGGAAGGGGAAGACTAGAGCAGTCTGGGGAAGACAGGATGGAGGAACATAGTTGAACAAAACATGCAGGCTGACTAGAAGACACACTGGTGGGCAAAGACAGTCCCAGGCCAGGTCTAGGGTACTGTTACTCTGACATTTCAAACAGGCAGTGTTGTGTAGTGCCAGGAGAGTGTGTGCTGTGTTTCTATGAGGAGTGCAGCTAAATCCAATTACAAGGGGAAGCTCAGTTGCTTTAGTTTCTCAAGGGCTGTTTTCATCACAGGACTAGTGGTTCTGAACTGCTGACATGTGGCATGGCCAGAGAGAGGATCTGTGGCAAGTCCACAGTTTTGGTCCTCTCTGATCCAGCCAAAATCCTATTATTAAAAGCTAAGATTTAGGATTTGCACCAGGGATATAAGTCTTGACAAAAAATTTTAGAATTCAATGTGTGGTTTGCTACTTGTAAAAATGACTAAAAATTAATTTTAAAGCCATGATCAGCCAAAATCTTCTCCTTTTGGTGGTTCCAAGCATATTTTATTTTCTCTTTTTTACCCATGCTGCACTTCCCCACATTGAACATTGCTTATTCACACATGTATAAAAAGTCATGCAGATGAGTTATTTTACCTTTGCCTGCACCTACATCAGGTGGAAGAATACCAGCTTTGATGAAGGGAAACAGAAATAGGACACTATATAGTTAGATGCAACACACCCATGAGCATGTATAGTGATACAAGAAAACACTTATTAAAATGCTAAGGCATGCAAGAAAAATGAGTGTACCACATCAGGTACAGGGGACAAAAATATGCCAGAAAACTTATCCAATATTCAAATCCATACATTACTTAAGGCGCTTTATTCATTATCTAGTGTATAAGAAGGCTTAAGGATATTTTGAATCAAATTTTGCATAGAAATGTCAATTTCTTATGCAATGAAAGATAATCAGATGAATAAGCCTTAAACATTTTACAGTTTAGAGATATGCAAAACCAGAAAATCTTTCACAATATTTTTGATCATTTTCAATGAATCTAAAATTTTCAGGATGCATTTTAAAAGTATGAATACTTTAATGGAGTTATTTTGGTTTCTCTGCACTAGATGACATATCAAAATTAAAGCTCCTTATTCCAACACAAAACAAATGTACTATTTAGTGACTATTTTGATTTTTTACTAGAAAACATTAACCAATACATGGATTAGGAAATTATATCTGGTAAATTAGGACCAGAAGAAGAATTATGTAATTATGTATGTCTGTGTGTTCATACATATGTACATTATATGAGTAAATACGTGTATGTGTGTATAAAGTTATGTACAGAAAAAAAATTGCTTTGAACTTTCAATTCAAGTGTGGCAAATATTGTAATTTTTCACTTCTACTCTATTATTTTAATATAAATTCAAAAATTTTATGTGGAATTAAAAAATACCAAATAGTCATTCCAATATAAACTAAATAACTGATTTTATTAAATATCAGAATGAGACACTGCAAGTAAGGGTTTGTATAGGTAATATATATGGATACCCCATTGTAAGAAGGAAAGAGAAAACATACCAAAGTTAAGGATTTTTATTTCAGGATACTTATAATTGTATGGATTTCATACATACCCATCTTACCTTCATCCACAGTTGTTATTGCTTCCTCTGTAATCTGACTTCCAGATCCTGCAGATGTTTGGGCATAGAAATAAAATTTATACCGAGTGCTGAAATTTAAATTTTTTAAAGTCCAGCGTGTCTTGTTGGCAGGAATTTTTAAATCTATCAGAGGGCCTAATTCATGTGTGCTGTTAACTGTGAATAAGAAATAACAAACAAGTGCATTCTTCATTAATTGCAATAAGAATACTATTGTAAATATTTGTGTCACTCAAAAATGTCAAACCTGGTTTACAATGACTTATAAGCCTACTCATTCTTCACTTAACTCCTATAATGTTATAATATACAATACGATATAACATAACATAGCAAGGGGGATATGCTCTCCATTTGCTTATAAACTAGGGGGATTTTATGATTGAATCACAACAGCATTTCTTTTAACTCTGTTTTTGCAGGTGGAGCCATATATTGTTAAATAATTTCAAACCTTTCCTTTAATAGACTTGTGACAAAGGAACCTCATCTTAGCATTTTCTCCTTATAGATACGTAATGCCCACTTAATTTAATGAGAGGATTCTCTTAAACTCCAGACCCTCAAAAGTCTGTATTATTCTATATAGTACTTAGTTTTCAGTAGCATATACATTGTTTTTCTTTTAAAACATTTTAAGATCTTTTTGGAATAATATTTGAGGGCATATGTATACATTCTACAGATACAGTGAAAGAACAAGCTTATGTGTTTTATGTAACAGTTAAGTTAAAAAAAAAAGTCTGCATTTCTCTTCCCATTCTTCCAATAACTTACTTGGCTGGTATTTTAGGGTGTACTCAGTCAAAATGCCATTTGGGTGACTGGGTGGATCCCATTCCAAAGTAAGAGAGTCCAGTGTGGGATTCACAATTTTCAAAGATGAGGGAGCACTAGGGACTTTAATGAGAACATGTAGTCAATACAAAATTTCCAAAGTATTCAAAATATATTTAAATGACATATATTGCCACGTTTGTACAACTGATCAAAGTTTTGGTTTTCAGTAAATTGCTCTTGACTCAGCTGAAAAGACATGAATCTACACGTGTGGCAGGAACCAGTTTATTCTCTTCTTCTGTTCCCATTTCTATTTAAAGTCATTGAAACCATCCTCTCAAAATACATAATGATTGCCTTTATATGGGCCCAAATTAAATACATTTAAAGGAGACAATGTTTGATTTATAAATGGTGTTTAATAGAAGCAAGCTGACTGCTAAGTCAAACTGTTCTAACCAGACCTTCGAGTGGAAGCAGCTGTGTTCTGGGCCATCAAGGACAGTTTCCCCCAACAAACCAGGTGTCTCCCAGCAGTGAGGACACCCTGCCCACTGGGCTCTGGACCCCAGCCAGCTGCCCAGGTGCAGGGCCATTCATCTCCCAAGCACGGACAGCTGCCCGCGATCTGGGAGTAAAAGTCAAAAGCCCCAGTGCTGGCAAACCCAAGGCTCTGGAGGAGGCCTGAGGGTGTTGGTTTTCCACAGCAGAAGCTGGCAAATTACCAGAGACAAGCCTGGCCTTTTATTCCCTTCCTCATCAGGGTAATGACTGGGCCAGCTCTCCCTTAGGTCTCCACCTCCCCTGCCACATTCCCTGGAAACGCATTAGTGGTACCACTGTCCTCCTTCACTCTAGCCAGAAAGCAAAAGGTCAACTTGGACCTCTCCCTCTGCTCTTTCCACCTCTCCTGGGACAGTAAAGCCTGGCGACTCCATCTCCTTCATCCCAAAGGCAGCCATTCCCCCACCTCTCCCTTGCCACCTCTCCTCCCTTGCCTGGACCTGCAAGACAACCACTTCCTCTCTTCTTTATCCTTTAATCCTCTGAGCCATCCACAGGACCAGTATGGTTTCACTGCTGAAGGCCTCCACGGAAGGAGCCTGACCTTCCAGGCAGCAATGAGACTGAGGACAAGAGCTGTGACTCAAGGCTGCTGGGCAGCTGCCAACCTTGTGAGCCCACCCTTAACCAGGGGCCAGGACAGGGTGTGTTTGTGAACAGCTTTCATCAAAAGACCCAAGAATTGCACAGAAGGGATCTGTCCCATTATTATGGCTGGCTGATGCAAAGTTCAAAATAGCTAAAGACCATTTTAGTGCCTTTTCAAACCTCTGTTCTGCCCTTACGACCACCATTCTCCCTCATCCACGAGGCTCCCACGTTCGTTTGCCCAAAGTCCTCTCCCAAGGCATTTCTGATTCTCCCTTCTACCTCCCTCACTGGCCCATAATCGCTTTTCCCATAATCACTACTCATAATCACTTTTCTCTTTTCTTCCCAACCCATTTGGTCTAGACTGCCAACCTTCTAACTCAGGTCAACTTTATAACAAATGATGAAAGAACATGGGGAGAGAAGTTACAGTGGTCAACTACTACTCAGAAATATTTTTGTTTCCAGGCCTTCTTAAGTATCCAATTTAGTTCTCACACTTTTCAGAGGAGGCCACTGAGTCTTAGAGAAGTTACAGAATGAATGTGCCTCAGGTCGGAAAACGAAAGACTTGACTAAACATAAGTTCAGCAAGGTTTCAGATAGTATAAATGGGGAGAAAAATTTTAAGTGAAAGGAAAGAATGTTTTAGGGCAGCAATTTGGATTCTAAACTCTTCAGTGTACCCTCAGGCCACATGTGAATGACATTTCCCCAGCTCTGTGTGTGCCATGGTTCTCCATGGGAAGGTCACACTGAGCTCCCAGAATACACTTTACTGGGAGGGCCCTTCTGTCATGGAAGGGCCCCAGGCCAGGCTGTGTGTTCCTGGCTCTCAGAGCCCTGTCCTCCGTACCTCCTTCGGGAGTGCTGAAGGCTCTGTCTGGGCTGGCCGGGCCCTCCCCTTTCCCACTGACCACACGCACATTCAGGGAGTAGTGGCTGAAGGGCTCCAGCCCGGGCAGCATGCCGTGGGTCTTGCTGCCCTGGAAGGTGAGGATCTTCTTCTCAAGGTGCCGTCTGTTTCTTTGGGATGGACCCTGTGCCTTCCAGTAGTAAATCTGGAGCAGCAAGAACAGAAGTCAGGGATGCACAAGGAGACATAGCAGGTTCTTCAGGTTCACAAACTAAAACTACTGTTTTCCCAGAAAATTCCCTTTGTGCATTTTGAAAGAAAACTAGTTGCCAAACAGATGGATACTGATCTTGAGCAAGAGGACTGGAAGCCCACAGGCAATGAAGAAATTCAGATGACACAACAAAGCTACACTATTCTGCTGGAAGAGTGTAAGTGAAATAAATAAAACAGCATGAGACCCCTATGGTCCTCTCCAGAACAGAAGGCAAATGGATGACAGTAAAAAGGGATTTAAGTCTTTCACATGTATAAAAGATTCTAAAAATAAAACTACTGCCCAATGTTTAATACATGTTCATGTACAGTATATTATTTAGCTAATTTTAAACACCACAGTGAGGCTTTTCTTGTTATTTTTCCTATGGAAGAAGTGAGCCTCTGGGCTCCCCAATGGCTCTCCCAAAGCTACAGGGGAGCCTGCACTGCAAATGTATGGCTTTTCCGTCACTAAGCCAACTGTGGCATTTAATTAAGCATGCATATTTCTTGTATTAAATTATAGGCACAGGTTTTGGAGAGATGGATAAACAAAGTGTTGGTTAACTTTGGTAACAAATCTATAATTATTGCTTATTAAATTCTCACACATTCATAAGAATTTATAAGTATTTTTCAAGAGAAATCAACCCACATACAGAATGTGGCCAATGTTGAGGGCCAATGAAGCAGTACTAAAAGTGACCTCGAGAGGTCAGTGTTAACAAATTGAGGTTGGGTGTGCACGTGGGGTGCAGTTCTTTGGCTGCCTGTAATTCAAAAATCTCCACGAATCAATCTTTTTGTGCTTTCCCAAAGCAAAGATAATTGATGTTCACCAAAATGATGCAGTTGGGACTACATAAACATAATCTGAATCATTTAAAAAATGCCCACATTATTATCAGGATAGTTTTGTATGTTCAACACATGTGGTCTATATTACTTTAAAGCTAGGTGCAGTTTGTTATATTTTAGTTCTTTAGAAATTAGTTTGCCTTATTTTGTACACATAGTGTTCAGTTCACAGAATCTTAGATGATCTGTGGAAAAAAATGGAGAAAACATTTTTTTCTCATTTTGGATGAGTAAGATTTCTGAGTTACATCTAGCCAGGGTACTTGATGGCTCCCTGCCTGAGGCAAGAAATAAACTCACTATCATGAGTTTATAAAGAGAGGAGCAGCATTACTCCAACCTCATTACGCTGTATGGGCCAAGTGGCATTCGCCAATGCCCTGTCACTGAGGAGAGAACTCCTTCTACTTGCCCGGTAGCCTTGCAGGTGCCCTCGGATACTTTTCAGGGGCACTGGGTCCCATTGCACCTCAGCCAAGGTACTGTTCACCACATTCACATTCACGTTCCCAGGAGCCACCATTGGGACTACAAAAAGGACAGGGAAGGGGGATAGAAGAATCAACATTATTTTGAACTTCATGTAAAAATATCATTATAAAAATTTTTTATTTTTGGTATCGGGGATCGAACTTGGAACCCTGTGCTTGCGAGGCAGGCGCTGGAACCACTGAGCTAAATCCCTGGCCTAATAATAATTTTTCTTGAAGTATGCCCCAGCCTATTCTATAGAATCTTATTCTATGGATTATTAAGGGTTGACTGTAAAAGATTTTTTTGGTTAATTGTTCCTTTAACTTTATGAGGACAGTTTTTCTAAAACAAAAAGTAATCTCTAATATTCTGCAACTCTAATTCTTACTTTTTTTGAGGTTCTGGGAGTGAACCTAGGATGTGTACATGCCAGGCAAACACTCTACCCCTCAGCTGCACCTCAGCCCTGGATCATCTACATTTCTTGCATGGCATGCTGTTTGAATACAAAGCTAGCAAATATATATTGCTGCCTCCACCCCTTGCAGACATAAGCACCTCTGGAAATAGCTGTGGTCTGTACCTTAGCAGGTCGTCCTGCTGGGGGAAAGCAGAGAGGAAATGGCACGAGACACTCACGGTCTTCTCCAGAATGTCCCATGACTACCGCTGGCTCTGGAGCAAACCCCACGTCGTTCAGGGCCTGAACTTTTATCAGGTATGGGACAAAGGTTGGTGTGCCAGAGACAATATATTTGGATACATTTGCCACAACCACAGATGTCCATTCATCATCACCATCTTTCTGGCGCCAGCTCACTTTGTACTGGAGGCCTGGCCCATTTGATTCGAAACCATTCAAGGGCTAAAGAAAAGCCAAATAACCCAAGGTTATAAACCAGATTGACTGCACATCCTTTTATGGGAACAGTAAATCCAATTCCCAGACCTAAAGAAAGTGAGCACTGAAACCCTAAAATACCTGCTATTAACCATTTTCTCTAGGGACCTCTTATCTTTTCATTTATGATGAGATTCAAAGCTTTTTAGGGATTAACATTTCAAAGGCTGTAAATTACTGTCTTACAACAGTGAATACCATGGAAACATTTTAAAGTCTGGCTGTGCAGGTAAGGGTGGGTGAGTCTGAAAACAGTTTAGTTTTTTGATTCTTTTATGTATTCCTGTTTGTGTGATTGTACATCTTGTCCATTTTACTTGGAGACTGAAACTTAGGAACTATTTCCCTCCTTATTAAAAAAAGTTGGCTTGTTAGTCTAACTTGATTTTCTGTTCATAAATATATATGTATACTATAAGTATATACACTTATGTGTACATATAAGTATTCATGTTGGCTCTAAGATAGATTTTAAACTATACAAGTATATGTTAATTCTCCAAATCCAGAATATACAGCTAAGCCAAATAATAATAATAATAATAATGATGATGATGATGATGATGATGATGATACAAGTTGACTACCAGGAAGTTCTGTGTAATAATACTTGCTAATGTATTTTGAGCACAGATAGGCATTATTGTAGATGCTTTATACACATTAATTCCTCTAATTGTATGAAGCTTTTATTGTTCTCTTATTTTTTATTGTATGAAGCTTTTATTGTTCTCTTCATAGAGATATTCAATAAATATTCGACAACTGGCTTAAGACCACACTGTTAGTAAGTAGCAGAGCTGTACTTATTCCTTTTGGCTCCAGAGATCAAACTTATTACTGGTTATTCCAATACTGCCTCTTAAATAAAGATATATTTTCCCCCCAGAAATAGTTGAAATGGGATTTTAATACAAATATTATTTTAAAACAACTTCTTTTCACACTACAAAAGTAACAGGGGAAAACTGAAGACTTTATAACTCACCTTCCAAGTAATCACCAAATTATCAGGCTCGGATCCCAATCCTTCCACAGCTGTAGGATTTTTATCTGGTTCTAGAAGTCAAACAGCCACATATGTGTAAGCTTTGTTCCTTGCCAAAGAGAGGAAAACATTTCCATTTTGTTTCCTATCCCTAAGTTGTGCTTTACCTGCAGCCTTGGTCAGGTACTGTTCGGACCCCTCGCTGGGCAGGCTCCTCCCAATGCTGTTCTCCGCCATCACCCGGAAGGAGTAGTTCACGTGTGGAGACAGCTTCAGCTGGGCTGTGGTCTGCGTTCCAGAAACTTCAGCCTGGTGGCGCCACAGCCCTGACTCATGCATGGCATCTTCATACTCAATGATGAATTCTGGCCACAACACACACAACAAACCCAAGACAGCAAATGCTGTCAACCTGGGGTAGATTGCTAGAGAGTGATCACTAACAGGACAATCAAGAGCGGCTAAAGGCAAATTAGTTTACTTTGAAGGAAAATCCCATAATGGGAGAGGGAAAGGAGAGCAGAGTGGGTAGAAAGAACTGCAGACAGCACAACAGTTCTGAGATAGTCTCAGTCAGGTCAAGGAAGAGCCCTAGAGTAAAGGGTACCCTTGATAAGAACTGTGCGGTAGGGATGGCTGAGGTCAAGGACTCTCGCTGTGTCCAGTCACTGGATACCCAGGGGAGATGTGGCCTCCTGTGAACACTGCTAGTTCCTTCCTAAGGGAAGGGTGGCAGATAGAGGCTGTCAGTTACTGCTCCTTGCTGCAGGCTCTCCCTTACGGGTGGACTGAGCAATGTCTTTGTGCATGTATATGTGTGTATCTGTGTATATATGCATATGACTTTGTATAAACAATGTATATACATAACATAGTAATATTAATTTTATCATATCTTTGTCCTGATCGAAAATACAGCTTCTATAAGGGCAGAGACTTTTTAAAAAATATTTTCGAACAGTGGAACATAATTGGCACTCACTTGATCTTAGCCAAAAGGCCGAGAAACGATCATAATTGGTACTTAATAAATATCTCTTCAGTGAACAAGTGAATGAATGAAGGAGCAGAAATGCCTTGAAAGCTAGTGGCATCATTGTAATGCGGGCCACAAGAGTCTCCACGCATCCTGACCAGCCAACTCCAGCTAATGTGCTAGATTAGCAGGGAAACTCAGCCTGCCCTGATGTAGGTCACTTCAAGATCAGGTATGAAAGGGCCACTACTAAGTTCAAGGCAGAGAAGATTTGGTCGATTTTATCAGGAATCTGCTTTGCCTAAGGGTGCAATCCAACACACCCATCATTTAGAAATAATCCTAAACTTTCATCAGAAGGACATTCAGTCTTCCTGCAGTCTACACCTGAGGTAATGATGGATTTCAGGGTTGTGACTGACTTCCTGCTCTTTTAACTGTCTCTTCAGTTTTACAATTAAACTTCTGTGTTTACCTTAATTGTAACTTATTAAGCTCTTCCAGAGTCCTTATGGCCTGGCCTCTTATTTAATTTTATTCCTTAGGACCTGACGTCTATACCCAGTTCTGTTACCAAGTTTCAATTTCTTGATATATAGTAGGACCTTTCAGCATCTGCTTCTCTTATCCTTTTCTCCTAGAAGTAATGGGCAAAATAAATAACTAACTTGAGATACATCTCCCTACTCTGGAAGAAATTTAAGGTGATTTTTAAATCCACACATGACAGTCATGAATTTGCTTAATTAATATCTTTAGCCAGAAGCTGTAAGCAGACATAACTCCATCTCTGGTTTTGTTTTGTTTGGTTTTTTTTTAGTACCTAGGATTGAACTCGGGCCCTTGCACTTGCAAGGCAGGTGGCAGAACCACTGAGCTAAATCCCTGGTCCTATAACTCCATCTCAGAAGAAGATGAAGAAGAAGAAGACAGCCATAAATAAATACTTTTGTTCTACCCGTAATGAAACAGAGAATGTCAGTAAGTATATCTATGAGGAATTGAGATGGCATGTTATAAAGTGCTCAAAAAACGATCATGAAGTTTATCAGTGACAAAGCAAATAATACCACATACTTGTAATAGGGCTGTTGTTGTCATCACCTGGGGTCCATGAGAGCTGAACACTCTTATCCAGTTGATTAGTCAATTCTAAATCAAAGGGAGGATTGGGAACATCTGCAGATCAAACGTACATGTCATGGTTAATTATCCATTCTTGAGAGGTTCCCCTTAATTTATAATATTACTCACAGAGGGGACATCTTAAAGACACAGTACACTTAACAGTCAATGAGCATGCAACAGAAATGAAATGGAAACCACTGAGGCTGCTGGGAGCACACGAGTACACCCAAGATAACCCATCGATGAGTTCTGGTTGCCGCTTTTCAAGTGCAGCGAAATTATTTGTAACCAAAACCAGTGAAGCAGACCTGTGTGGTTCATCAGCAGTCTCAGTGTGTGTTACAAAGACAGACAATCACAAACATAAAAATATACCAAAGCCTGATTTCTACGCCATGGGAAACAGAATAGAAAAGGTTGGAAAACAAATACAGATAGATAAAATGCACTGTTTCAAGAAGATTCAAATGTTCTTTTTGAAACATTCTGAATAACTGATTGTGGGATTTCTGAAGGAAAATACATATAATATATAAAATTGTCTAAAATATTATATATAAATATATACAAATACAGGAATATACCCATATATGAACATAAATATGAGTATATGTATGGAGGTAGAACTCAGCATGCTCAGGTATGCTTCCTCTTGGACACCTGTGGGGACACAGGTAACCGAAGCAGAGCTGCTTTATCAAATGGTGCTTCTGAGACGCACAGTTAACTCTCTCCCCCAGGCCTTTTTTCCCTTGCCTCTGCAAGTATCTCTGGCTCTTGAGGGACTAGAGGCCATATATATAAGGGCTGTTCTTTCTCATCAATAATGAAGCAGTAAATGTCTACAAAGGACAGGTTTTCTGCAGAATAATTAGTGATACTATGTAACATGTACCTGAGATTATGCCACAGAAGTAATTTTTGCATTTATGTGCTGAATAACAGGAGAGGTTTCTAAACAAAAAGCTTGCTGGAAATAGTGATTTTTTTATTTTCCAGTCTCAGAAAAGTAACATAACATTGATGTACCTCTCCTTTTGGTCTTTCTTCAGTGACTTCACTTTAGCTAACATACAGTGAGTCAGTATTTTTCTGACATAAAAGTTACAAGTTGTTTTAAACATCCATTTTTCCCTGCTGTGTAAATTTCTTGAAAATGTAATCCCCAAACAACATTTTTTTCCAAAACAAATTTTAGCAGATTGAAGTAAGACATAATTAATGGAATGATACAAGAAATAGATTCTTCATTCTGTAATATATGGATGATAGCTTTTGATAAAGCACTTTGATACAAGGAGATTATATCAAAGAGGGACTTTTATCAAATGGAATAACTTAATAGCACATGAAATATTTAGAAACAATTGGTAATAAACTCAGTGGAAAAATTCTAAAGTTAAAATGAAGGAATGATTTAGTGCAGTACATGAGGGACACAATGTACCAATTGACAGAACCCTTTTCCTTAAAGAAACACAATAATGTGACAGAGAAAAGACAGTCATTTTTTCTGCAAAGGTGAATCTGCTTGACAGAAAATAGAGAAAGAAGGCTCATATTAGTTTACCGTAAATGGGAGCTGGAGTTGGAGTAGGAGCTAGAAAGGACATTAATATACAGGAATTTAATCAAAATTAGTAATGGAAGGATACAAGATAGCATAAGAAGACAAAGACTGTACATGATTAAGGTTATAAAATTAAGCCCTATGCTTAGCCATGAGCATACTACTAATAAACATGCGATAACCATTTCAGAATTTTAAAAAAACCTTAATTTCAAATAAAAATATATTATTTCCCCCAATTTTCTTATAGAAATGTCACTAATGTGCATATCTACTATTTTATCCTAGTCTGATACAGAGCAGGTACACTGAGGTTATCACCTCAAAGGTATCTTTTAAAGAAAAAAGTAAAGGTATTAACCTATCCATGTTACAGTTATGAAACTATAACCACCAAACATTTAATTTTTTTTGCCCTTTCAATCTAACACAGGCAAGTTGGTTGTGTCATATTTGTTCTTGTTCTCACCAACAACACTGAGCTCGGCACTGGCAGAAACATCATCCAGAGTGGTGTTGGCCACACACGTATAGGTCCCCCCATCATTGTCTCTTACGTCAGTTACCACCAAGTGGTCCTTGTCCACCGTGAACCTGCAAAAAGAACCAGCTCAGAGCAGCTGAACGGGACATCCAACCACACCCCATCTGGCAAGAAAGAAACTGTGAACTTGATGAAAGGAAAGGACGATACATATTTCAGCAAGATGGGGTGAAAATCTTATATACCGTATATAAATACATCTAATTTTAATAATAAAGTCAGAAAACAATTAGAATGAATGAGAATCTTGGGGTAGGAAGGATACTGAGTATAATGGTTTTCAACCAGACCTCTGGAGTCTTAGAGGCTTCCTTAAAGCTCTTGGAGCAAAACGTCATACGGTGCTCCACCAATATGCACAATTACTGTGTGTCAATTAAAAAACAGAATAAATGTTTTTTAATAAAAGTCCCTAGGAGCATCCTGAGGTGAGGAGGGGCCAGCTTCACACTTACCCTTGCTACAGTGCTTTATTTATTATTCTGCTGCCAAGAAATGCTCAAAAACCATTCTTCTGAATGTCTATCAAAGTGTATATTTTATTTATTATTTACTGCAGAAATTTTGTTTCATTTTTAGTCATATGGGTGAAGTCTCATAGGAGAAAGTAAATGCAAACAATAGTAACCTGTTTTATCCCTAGAAACAGGAAGATTCAGATCAGCAATTTCCACTGAGAGTTTTCCAGGGGTTACTTGCAGACATGAAAAATTGCTCAGTGGGTCAAAAGACAATGCATGCAGGATTCATGTATGATTTAATAAAGCTGAATAAATCATAAACTGTCATCCAGGTTTATTTCCAAGTTCCAGCTCAGCTTACTTAACCTGATTGTCATTTCTTCATACTTCTTTCTCCTCTTTATCAACTCCGATTCCACAAATAAGTGGAGGCACAGCCTGGATGGAACTAGGCACATAGAGAAGAAGGCCACAAAGTACTCTTGGGCCCATGAACAAGCAGCAGGGCAGCATTAGTCACCACAGGTTTAGGTGAGCTGCAGGCAAACCACAGAAACCATTTCCACCAAGATACAGCACTCTTTCTAGTAAGGGCAATCACTTGTAGCTACTGTGATTGCTGAAATCACACATCCGAGTCTGAGTATTTACTGTGTTTACTATGTCAAATTGAGGGCCTTGCTGGAAAATGCCATGACCTTTCTTTTATTGCAAGTTAAGGGATTGCAGCGTGCTCAGATTCTTTTAAATGCTTTGTTTTTGCTTTTTCTTCCCCTTCCAAAAAAGCAAAAGAAAACTCCCTATCCAAATAAAAATGAGTGTCTTTTAAAATACTGGCAAGGATTCAGATGCACTCTGATAATTAAAGAGATCGTATTTCTGTTTATTTGTAGAATGGGAATAAAAACATCTGTTGAGATTTTACTGTTCAAGGTGCAAAACAATGGATGTTGTCCAAAGCTTAAAGGGCTTTTCTCCACCCAAATTACACAGGCCAACACACAAAGATAGACAAACATTCTCAGGGTCTTATTTCAATCACTCAATGACCTCTTCTTAGGTCCTAATATTGTATAGCAGAAAGAAAAAGTGTACCTCTATTTTACAGACAGCAGACTTGAGAAACTAAAAACATCACCCTTAAGTCACTATACAATCAACCTTTAGCTCAAAAGCAGTTTCCAGAGAGAAAGACGAAATCATCTTCAAATACCTTTCATCACTGGGCAGCTCACCATTGTCCTTCAGCCACGTGACGGTGGCGATTAGGGTGTGATCGTGTTTCACTTTGCATTCAAAGGTCACTGTGCTCCCTCTCTGCACAACTGCGTACTCCGGCTGTTTAAGGATCCTTGTTGGATCTGAAGTTCAAAGTTATTATTACCCATAGGTAAATATGGAGAATTTGCTCAAAGTCACGTAACACTTGAAAAAAGTTTATTACCTTTGATTTCTAAGTGAACTTCATTCTTTGCTATCCCTAATTTATTCCTGGCAACACATGTGTAGGTTCCTGTACTGTTCTTTGGGGCCACAGGGATTTCTAAAGTTCCATTTTCGTGTAAAACATAAATGTCTTCATGAAGAGCACTTCCTTTAGCTCCTTTAAACCTTTATTACCCAACATGATGAGAATAAGACATATAATTTGAAGTCAAAGAAAATGTCACATTCAAGGTCAGCACAACCATGGTCTACATTAAAGTGTAAGTATAAAGACACTTGGAATTTGCACAAGCACACTACATACTTGTATGTTAGGAGGTAAATGTAATGACATGACACAAAACTGGAGAAATCACTAATAAATGGCATTTGTAGAATTAGGCTCATAATACATAAGTTGTAATTTTTATCAGAAATCCATATTTAATAAACACATTATTAACTATTTTAATCCTAAACAGGTAACAAAATAGACAGAAAGAAGACTGCTTTTTTTTTTTTACATTTTATGTCCAACTGTGGTGCATTAGTAATTCTATCTACAGGCTGCAATTTTAGAGATTTTGATTTCAATGCTATATGGATTGTATTTATCCTTTGAAAGGATGAAAAGGAAAATATTCAGGGGAGGGATAAAAAAAGCATGTATATCAGAGAGGAGAAGTAAAGACAGATGATAAGGGATGAGGCAGAGTCAACATATTCGCTAAGTGTTAATCCTGTCACCTTAAGTAGGAAATCTGCAGAAGTATTCCTGTTTCTCTTCTCGGTGGTTAAGCTGGGGCATTTAAACCTGCATTCATTCTCATCTAAATAGTTGAAACCCAGCACAGCATTGGGAACCTTACAGATGACCAATACATGACTGTTGCAGTTCCCTTTCACTCACCCATCCTCATAGGCTGCCTACCCCAGCCAGGGACCTCCCAGCTCCTTTAAAGCAAGTCCGTACCAGGTAGTGGACTTGTACCAGGAGTGGTGTGTAAAGGGGGTGGTCTGAAGGGGGCAGTTAAAGGACACTGGAGAGCTTGGCTGTACCCAATCAGGAAGATCTACAGAGAGAGGTACTAAAGGGAAATATTCATGGTAGTTAATTCTGTGTTTGAGCTTTCAGAACCTCTTCCTCATCCCACAGGATTTCTTATTATCAAGGAAAGACTTCCAACCAGTCCCTCCAGCTACTATTCACAAAGTCCCTGGTGATGTCCATGGCATTATAAAACATAGCAGCCTTAAAGTAAAAAAAAAAAAGATTTACATATAGCTCTGTAAATGAGTGAATTCAATAATTGGTAGTATGATAGATTATGCACTCCATTTCTCCTGTTTGTTCTTTGACTAAAACCCAACGTATTTAGAAAAGTAAATGCTTTAACAAATCTAAGTATTAAAAAACACATAAGGTCATTACTTACCACTCAATGGTAGGCAGAGGAGACCCAAAGAAAGCACAATCTAGGAAAGCAGGCCTGTTTGCAATGACCTGGTAGAGTGTGTTTTCAGATGTGAGGATTCGTGGGGGCTCAGCTAAAAAGCATTTTTAAAGGTACAATAAATATTAGGATACTTTTTAGTTTTTTTTTTTGAATTAAATTCTTTTATTGGTACATTGTA